AGTTTGACGTCCGGAAGTCCCCCGGCGGGCCCACGCTCGACTCCCGGATCACGGCCCGCGTCCGGGTAAAAAACCCTAACCAGAAACTGAAAATGTCTTACGAGAAGATTAGGGTTTTGATTAATGAAGCTAAAGGAGGCGCGGTTTTGGGGGTCGGGAGCGCGCGAGGGTTTACTCAAGAAAGGAACAACGTGACGAGTTTGAAGATTGATGTGAAGACGGAGAAGGGGATTTTAGGCAATGCTAATGCGGACGAGTTGGAGAAGGGATTCGAGAGCAAGAATTTATCGGTTAATGTGGAGATTTCGGGAAAGGTTGGGGTGAAGGGGGATAAATGGTCGGCCGGGAGTATTGGCGTGAAGGTGGTGTGCGAAGGGGTGAGATTAAGCCGGGTTGAACGAGAGAGTCCTAAGTGCCGGATTAAGGTTCTCGACTGGTACGTGTCTTGATCGATCGAATGTTTTCGCAAGGTTATGCTTTTCATGGCATGTGATCGATATTTAAAATGTTAGAATATCACTCGTGAGTTGTCTCGCATCGTTTATAGATGTAGCTAACATCGGCCTAACTTATAAGCTCAGTGAGCTATTCTCCCATCAATCAATTGATTTTGGGATGATACCTCATTTAGACCTCATGATCTAGACTCACCATGTTATAGATTGCCAACGTTCACTTTGGAGCTTTTTCATAACTAAACTTTTTGAAATAAAAAAACAAAAAACTAATTCAAAATCATGTAAAAAAGTTGAATAGAGATCCGACTGGTCAAGTCGATAATTTGAGGTCGAAACTTCCCAACCTAGCTCAAAACTCTCTTTGTCAAACACGGCCAAAAACTTTTGTGATTATTTGCTATAATTTTCATAATTACTGCGTTAATATTATTTTATTATCTTGACTAATTTTATTTTACTTTTTTTTTTTAATTGCAGGTTTTATGTAGGCTGATCAACAGCACGAGCTATTCAAATGTGTGTGTGTGTATCTAGAGTTTTTGACATGGGGAACATTGTCATAGATAAGTTGGATATTATGTACGATGTGGTTGCTAGTGATTTTCAGAAGTGAAATTTAGTCCACATTAATTAATTAATTAAATACCAGCTTATTATTTTCTTGACTAATTGTACCTACGCTAGCATGTCATTACTTACTGGGAGACGTTTTGACCAAGTTGTTATTGATTAATTGTGTCTGGCGATTTTCTTTAAGGAAAATACTAAGTTCTCGTTACGGGATGATACTGTCAATGTTTTTTACTATTAAATACACATATAGATTATGTTGTGTAGATAATTTATGGTAACCAATACTGACGATACCATACCGTTAACGAGACTGTAATAATTCCTTTCTCTTAATTCGACCATATTTCCTATTTCCTAATAGAACTTTGACATATTACCTTTGTCTTTTAAATAAAAGGTGA